CAAAAGGAGAGAAAGAAATTTTCAGTATCTAGTTCAAATAATTGCAGTGGGTGACAATAAGTCATTCCACTCATTATTCTGGTGCTCATCAAAATAGTTTTTTTAATTTTTGTTTTTTTTCCAATGGTATATTTATGATACAGTATCGCATCTTGCAAGTTTTATCAGTCTGTATAATTGTTGATTCGATAATACAGTTCGCGAATTCTGCGAAATTGTTGCCGTTAATCAGGCGAAGGTTAATTTTCGTCGATGGGATGTACAAAATTCGGTAGCCGGTCGGCAATTTCGCCGGTAACGACGCGTCATTCTCCCCGCGGGAAATCGAGCCGTGCGCGCGCGAGATCGAAGAGAAGATTAACAACTCCAACGACGATGAGCGATGGGAGGCACGTTCGATATGGACGGTAATTAATGCCGACGGCGATCGCGATTCTGAGGGCGGTACCAAAAGGAAAACGACGGACGCAGGAGGCTCTTTGAAACGGCACATCGCCGTGGATTGCTCTATGATGCACCGCGCTATGATATCAGTGGGAGCTGCGCCGCCAACAGGAAGTGCATTGTGCCATTAGTTCTATTTAGAGATTAGCCTTATTAGGCTAATCGAAGATAAGAGCTAAGATTTTTTTCAATCCTACACGGAAAAGGGATTAACAGTGATTGCGCTACAGCAATTGAATCAAGTTGTAACCCTTACAGAAATTTGGATTAAAAATTCTATGTCTAAATTAAAATAAATTATCGAAATCAGTGGTTGATCTTGTCTCTGAAAAAAATTCCATAGCTATTTGTAATTATTTTTTGGCAATTTCCTTTATATAAATCTAATAAAATCATTATTTGTCGATAAGTCGAAGAAGATAGGTTTGTGATGACAATTGTCAAATCATAAGGAAATCTTTATATTTGTCGAAAATAATGCAGGTATATTCTAACAAGCAATCATTTAAAAATCAACTGACATTACAAGTTTGAACCTTGAAATTCGATGCTTTGCATGTTAGAAAAAAAACAAAGCGAAATACATTTATGGACATCTTAAATATGTATGTACTTTCTACTTCGCTGAAGATGGCTCAAAGTGAGCCGAAACGTTCGAACACATATGTAAGCTTATTAAGATTATTAAAATATAGAAGAAAATTACAAGAATACACAAAGCATAATGTGTGGAGTTATTCTTATCTATCCGTTAATTTTAAAACTTTATTTTATTGATACATCCAATACTGATCAGTTTAATATTAAAAGATAGTAATTAATTACTTATTTGAGATATTAAAAGATATACAATTTTTTACTGATTCAGTATATATTAAAGTTTCAGTATATATTAAAAAGTGATATTGCTATTTTTCAGTAAATCTTTCAGTAAAATTTTTACGATTTGTGTAACAAACTAAACTATAATAGTTAAATATAATAGTTAAATTTTTATCATTTTTTTATATTTTCGTCTTTTAATACATGACTTTTAAGTATAATAATTAGTAAAATAGTAAAAAAAAACGTGTACAATGTCGATTCATTATTGTGGACGAATCACAGATCCATTATTTCACACCTGAAGGAACAGTCAAAACAATGGACTTCACCGGGTGAACCAGCTTCTGAAGAAGGCGAAGACCGTGAAATCGGCCGGAAAGGTGA